GACTGCGGGAAAGGCGGGTAACATACAGTGCAAATGCCGAAGGCGGGCTTCGTAATGACAGCACGGAGGGGGACTCTCGGTAACTGAGATTTTTAAGTACTTTTGATAACAATTTTTAAATTCTGTAGCGTCCTCCTGAAAGGGGGATGAACAATTTCAATTGAAAATGATAAAATAGACGACATTATAGTAAAATGCCTGCTTTAGAAATAGGCACAAGGACAGGATACCTAGAAATGCGATCTGAGTACCAGGTGAACAGGGAAGCTTCGTCCAGAACTATTAAGTCGGAGACACCTGAGTCATCTTCCAGGATTTTTACCCATGGGAAGCCTGTAACTCCTTCGTAAAAACTGAGTGACAATAATCCCCTTGTCACAGATCTGTTTCATAAAATAAGAACATAGAATATTAGCGTATTACAAAAGTAACGTAATATACAAGGTCACTCAGTCAGCAAGCAGGAGAGCTTTGGTTTGAAGCCCGTTAGACACTTGAAATTTCACCTTTATACTTTTACTATTTGCATGTTTTATTCTTCTCATAAATGGCCATTTGCCAAAAAGAAAACCATTACAGTGACCCCAAAGGTCACACAATGAGGTAAAATGAACTGCAACGAACAAGAAAGCACCAAGGGGCAAAGTGCGAATCTGCCGGTTACCAGGGTGCCGCCTCACACCGAAGCGCTCCCTAATGGCTGCTCTGCGATACTGCACTGAAGCCCTTGAAATTTTCCCTTTTCAAACTTGCATGTCACACTCTAACTAGAGGAGCCTGGAGAGGCACTGGGAGAGAAGCAGACTTCTGGATTTCCCTCCTGCACCCAGCGGCTCCTCTCCTCAGGCTCCTAGAGCGCCGTCTCTCCAGCACCAGACCAGCAGCACGGCTCTCCCCAGGGACTGTCCTGCTCCAGGCACCTGCGCACAGCTTCTCCACAGCCCAGAGCCAAAAGCTTCCCCTGCCAGCAGAGTGGCAGCTCCTGGCACCACTCCTCAGTAACTTTCCATGGTACCCCGAAGTCACGTAGAGGGTCCCCGACGTGCTCCTCGCTGTGAGCAGACTCGCCTGCACTCCTCTGCGGCTCTGAGTGAGGTCTTAGGGACAGCGCTTCCCTGGAGACCGCTTTCCCCAACACGGTGACGGCCATTCCTACTAAACTTCCACCCGCTGCAGTCTCAGTCGCAGGGTGAGTGGGCCTCTCCCATGGTCACCCTACTGCGTGTCTTGACAGAAGTAGAGGCTGCTGTTTAGATTCCCCATCCCTATATTATGTGGAGTTACCTACTTCTAGCCAGTCAATGTTAGGTAGTTTCCACGAACTATATCTAGAATTAGAAGAAAATATTGTGCTTAAAATTAAATCTACAGTGCGCCTGTTTGGGCTGCAACGCTCTTCCACCGCCAGTCTTTCCCTCCTCAGACTAGCCGGTTTCCTGATCCAGCGCTAGGTTTTCTTGGTAGATGTCCCAAAGCCACCTTCTTCTCAACACATCTGGAAAACTACCTCCTAGCCTAACTTTGAACCACCTCCTCCTCCATTTCTTTTTTCAGCGACAGTCTTTTATCTTCACGTGGTCATACGATCCTCAAACACAAAAGCCTAAAATTTATGCATCTATGATCCTATCTCACAGTCATTGCAAATCAATATTCTTAAAATTTCTAAATTAGGCGCTTTCTAAGTTCTTTTTGTCTTCAAATAGAAAACCACTAATAGGTTCACGGAGTGGCCAGGGTGTGCAGTCATGGTGCTCCAGGTAGCCCACCAACTCCACAGGCAGCACCCTCATCTGAATGTCGTACACGAGAACCCTGAGAGAAGACGCATTCGTTCATTCAGACACTTGTAGCAGAAGGCGAAGTGCTGAGCGCAAGCAGCCGACTGCATGTGAGCTCCCACGGCTGCACACCCTCCCTTCCACCCAGCCCCTTACAGCACACACACCACGCCCTTCCCGGGAAGGTTCTAAACCACAAACCCGGTCATGTCGTTTTCCTGCTTCAAACATTTCAGCAGGAGATTTTTAAATTTTTATTTTAAAAAGAACAGAATAAAAACAAAATAACAAAAACAAAGACATAAACAAAACAACATAAAAATGATACAGAATTTCAGAACAAGGTGATAGGAAATTAACAATGGTTGTTGTGTCACGTATTGTTATCTTCAGAGTGGTTACTCAGATAACCAGATCTAGGCCTATAAGACTGATCAATTGCACATCAACTCTTCCTTTCAATAAACCAATAGAATTTAGTAGTATAACTACCTTAGCTATCTTGTGTGTGTTTTTTCCCTTCCTTTCTTTCTTTTCTCTTTTCCCTCATCCCAGTTGTTCTTTCCTTTTGAGCAGTTTCTTTCCCTTTCACAGTATCTACTGTACCTTTTAGATTCTTACACTAGGGTAACAATATGATGTTTACACATGTGAGTCTGATTTATTTCGCTTAGGAGTATGGTCTGTAATTGCATCCACTTACCTATAAAAGCCTCCAGTTTATCTTTCTCTATAGCTGAGTAATACTGCATAGTATAAAAATACCACAGCTTTTTGATCCATTTCTCACTTGATGGGCATTTGAGTTGTTTCCAAGATTTAGCTATGACAAATTGTACTGCTATAAATGTGGGCGCATATACATCACTGTGGTATGTTTTCAGTTCTTCTGGAAAAATATCCAGCAGGGGAATAGTTGGGTTGAATGGGACCTCTAATCCTAGTTTACTGAGGAATCTTCAGACTGATTTCCACAGTGGTTGCACCAGTCCACACTCCCACCAACAGTGGAGGGCTCCTTTTTTCCCCTCTCCAGCATTTGTCATGGGTTGATTTCTTGATGATAGACATTCTTTCTGGGGTGAGATGGAATCTCAGTGTTGTCTCAATCTGCATTTCTCAAATGACCAATGATGTTGAACACCTTCTCATGTACTTATATTCCATTTGTATTTTTCCATGTGAGAACTGTGTATTCATTTCAGATGCCCATTTCTGGATTGGGTCTTTGAATTTAGGGGCTTGATTTTTTTTATTTCTTTATATGTCCTAAATAGAAGTCCTTTGTCTGAGGGACAGTTGGCTAAAACTTTTCCCCAATTCATGGATTTTCCTTTCACCCTATTGGTGTTTTCTTTTGATGTGCAAAAACTTTTCAATAAGGTGAGATCCTAGTTGTTGATGCTTTGAAGTATTACACGTGCAGTTTGGTTCTTGCTCATGAACTCTCTGCCTACCCCAATGTCTTCAAGATTTCTACCTACTTTCTCTTCCAGTAGATTTGGTGCTCCCATTTTAATATTTCAACAGGAACTTTGCTTTTGAACAGGTTTGCTAACTAAAGGCATCTCACCACTCCACTCTCACTGCACCAGTTAGAAAAAAAACAGGTGAGTTACAAATAACAAAGCCATCAGCAGTGTGTGGAAGCAAAGTCAACCATATTAACTAAAATTTTAAACATGGTGGAACTCTTCCTTACTAAGCTGAGATTGCTAAATATTTTCTTCTGTGGATTTAGCATATTTAGGCAACAGATTTATAATAGGTCAAAAGTCTCTTCTATGGGAAAGTAAAATCTAGAGTTCTCCTCATCATGTAGATGAGTGTGACGTACTGCAACCTAGAAAAATCACATAGCTCTTGTTAGTTTTGCCCACAGGACATCCCCCGCCTGGTGGTGCAGTGTGAGAGACTCTGGATTAAATTGGAAATATAAAGTACTATTTAGGGCCATCTTGCAGTACTTCAAAATCAACACGTCACTAAAGAGGTCTATAACAGAGATATGAAATTAGAAGTAGCCTAAGCCTAGCTAAGCTGTACCTAAGCACTGACCTATCTCAGTATCTAATTTGTTTAAGGTGGTCATCCCTTCACTCTCCCTGGTAAACTAAGGAAAGAGTGAACTGGCTGCAACAAAATAAAATTAATGTCCACTATCTATTGATCTTTCATAGTTTATTGTATACAATAAAAATTTAAAGGTTTGCAAAGAAGTGAGAAAAATAAGCAGAATACCTCAGAAGTACATGCATTAGAAATAGATCCAAGGATCATGCAGAGATTGCCATTAACAAACCAGAACTTTAATATTACTGTTGAAAACATGTTGAAGAAAACAAGCTAGGGACAGGGGTGATGTCTGTTACCCTGGCTACACGAGAGGCTGAGGTGGGAGGATCACTTGAGTCCAGGAATTTGAGGGTAGACTGAGGAGCATAGTGGAATGCTATCTCACAAAAGAAGAAGAAGGAAAGAAGGTAGGCAGGAAGGGAAAGAGAAAGGGAGCAAGGAAGGAGGAGAAGGAAGACAGAAATGATGGAAACATGGGTAATTTCCACTAAGAAACTTGAAGGAGAGGACATTCCAATGGCATGCTGTAAAGGAAAGAGCATGTGTGTTTGCATGTGTGCACATAGTCTCAAATATATAGTCTGAAATTGGGAATTGCTTACATAGATTTAGCAGATTGGCAAAAGACAAGATTGATGAGCTCAAAGAAAAGCCAACATACAATATTCAAACTGAAGCCGAGACAAACAGATAACATGGAAAAACAGCAAGGAAACACTCAGGCTGTAAGGTTTTTACCACCTAATACACGTTATCGTAATGCTGGAATAACGGGAGAGCAGAATGGGAAGTAAATAACCTCTGAAAAAAGATAATGGCTGAGAATTGTTCCCAACTGAAGAAAGATGCATTCGAGAACTTCGGTAAAGCTAGTCATATAAATATACTGAACACTGTATTTAGATCCATTAGAAGTAAAACTTGTGAAAACCAGGATAAAGCTCTTAAAAGCAGCCAGAATAAGAAGAATGAATAATATTAAGAGTATGATCTTGAACAGAAACTATGGAAACAGGGAAACACGTTCTCTTTAAAGAACAGAAAGAAAACTCTACATCTAGTTCTATATTCAGTGAAAATAGCTTTCCAAAACTACAATGAAATAAATGCATTTTTCAGACACATAGAAGCTGTGGAAATTACTGGCGTGTAAAGAAATGCAGCCGTAAGCTCTGCAGACTGAAGGCAGCGATCTCAGATGCGAGCCTGGTACCACAAGCAGGAGTGAAGAAAGCGGGTATTGTGCCTCCAGGGTAACCACTAAAAGAAAAATACAAAGAGATTTAAAACCTGAAGAGGCCATAGAGGAAATAAAATGCAGTGATTCAGAATAACTTTTGAAACATTTCTGATAAAGTAAATGCCAAGCTCCTTAGCATAGTGCACTAGGCACTTCATGATCTGGCCGCTCTGTCTGTGTAGGTTAATTCACTTTAGAACCCAGCCATCAGGAACTGCGTGTAACTGCTTAGCCGATCATGTTATTCGTGCTACCTCATAGTGGCCTATGCCAGAAATATCTCCCTTTTTTCTTAGCTGGCTAATAACAATTTAACTTTTAATATGCAGCTTTCTCTCAGTCAGGTTCTCATCGCGGGCTGTATACAATACCCAATACCTTCAATTTAGGGAGGAGAGGTTTATTTTGGCCCACAGATCTAGATACAGTCTTATTTCCTGAGGAACCTCTGAATTTCCATAGGACCCAGGGTTTATTAGTACCAAACCCCTGCTGTAAAACAAAACTCTTCATCTATTTCTGCCGTTTGACTTTCCAAGACCTTTGAAGGTTGGCCCTATACACACTTCCATGGATCCAACATCCAGTGTAGGTGCTAGTACATTCAGTATCTACCTTAGGAAATGCCGATTACATAAAGAGAAGGCATTCAACATCTTCTTTAGGGAAGACTAACTGCAAACATGAACAGACATGATTTGCATATCTGCTTGTGGAAGACTCTATGCTGTTGTACGGGGGATGTTACAATTTACCCCATCTTCAGAATGATTGGTCAGTAGCTCAAACTCAACACATTTTAAGCTTAAATGATTTCATTTTGCTTCTACTTGTGCATCAAACTCAGTTAAAGGTCTCAACATCTGAAGTTGCCCATGGCAGCCAACTTGGCACTAGGATTACTTCTGTCTTTCCTTCACCTCTGATGTCTTTTCTCACATTACTTCCCTGGTCTTGACTTCCTGACCACGCCCTCTTCTCACCCTTCGACTGCCTTGTCCCTCATGAAGCCCCAGAGCCCTTACGTGGAGCTCCTTCCGGGCACCAGCAGGAAGGGATCTGGCCTCTTCCTCCTTGACGCATGCGCAAAGCCTCACCTGTGCCACCCCTGTCATGAATTCTGCTGTCATCAATACTTTGCAGCAGTGTCTCTCATAAACTTGTAAAACACAGAATTTTTCTCTTGCAGAAAAGGCAGGTAAGTGCAAATATTTGGTAAGGGGGCCAGAATAAAAGCTAAAGACAGAAAATTAAAAAGCAAACACAAGAGTATCTTTTTAAAAGCTACAGGGAAGTTAGAGTAAAATATAACACGATATATATAAAATATAACATAGAGGAAATCTATGATGAAATTTTTTTCCTTGAAAATTCCTTAGAGGGCTGGGGGTATAGCTCAGTGGCATAAATGCCTGCCTGGCAGGCACAAGGTCCTGAGTTCGATTCTCAGTACCCAAAAAAAAAAAATTCCTTAGAGTCTTTTAGCAATTTTAAGTATTTCCATTAGGCCGTCAGCTGGGCCCTGCATGCACCTGCTCCCTGCCCACGACAGGACCCCAGCCACACCTCCCTGGTCCTCTCCCACTGCTTGCTCTCCAGGTTTGCATACCCCCATCACCTTTTCATCTCAGCTCACTTCTTACGCTTTGCTCCACCTTGGCATCCAGACCCCTTGTGGTTGGGCTGTTTACACTGCTTTGTCCTGGCTGTCCTGGCCTGTTTTACGGGCTCTTCTCCCAGATTCTCCCCGTATCTGGCTTACACGAACAAGACAAATTCTCCCCACGTTCATTCCTCAAGGTGGATCGTACTTGTCAGAAACAGTGGGATGGATGATGGATTGAAAGCCACGTCGGATTCACTAATAGTTACACACAGGCCTGAAGTTTATAGCTTGGCATTTTTAATAGAAATGAGCAGAAACCATACAAACAAATGTCTATAAATTTATCAAAGAGGAATTCTAAGAAAAGATAGAAGAAGACTGATGATAAGTGGACCAGGACCTACGGTGATGAGGAAGGTCGGCTGTACCTTACTTATGAAAGGAATTTCAAAAAAATAAGAATTTCGAGCAGCTGTTCCCCCTTCCCATAGGGGATCGAGCAAACGGATGAAGACTAACTTTGCCTAAGTGTGCAGTAGGGAGACCCCTTCCTACTGCAAGGGTTGTTATTGCTGAAGAACGATGCTGAACTCTTGTCGGAGGATCTGAAGTTTAGAAACCGCAGATCTCATGGCTGCAGCGTAGCTCGGAGCTTTTGATTGTTACAAGCTGGAACCTTGCACTCTTCATTCGTGATTATCAACGCGCTTTCTGTGAGTCTCACGGGCTGGTCGGCCTGTGCACCCCCAGACCCCCTCTACAGGAAAGATTTTGCACAGAAATTGCTTTAAAATCTTAGGAATTCAGAAGCCAGAATAGTCTGGAAAATAGACTATTCTGCTGCGCATCTTCTCTCTGAATCTTTAGAGGTCATCCATTTACATTTTCTGTGCTAGGTTTTCTTGTCCCCTCTTATTAGCGAGCGCTGCAGCTGCCAGCCTCTGAGACAATGCGTGTTAAGTGGTCGCTATTTTTAGAGGCAAGAAAAGAACAAAAGCAGATTGCTGGAGACTCTTCTAAGGCAGTCGCACGGGGCTTCTTCCTTTGGTATCAGTTTTGGAAATTAGGATTATTTTGGAGGGAGAGGTTCTCGTCTGAGGCATTTCATGATACAGGTTCATGACATTCTGGTTCAGAGAAATGACAAACAAAAGCATCTCCCTTCCGAGAGCACAAATCAGCAGCTGAGCTATAATCTCAACAGCCAACCCACATTTCCCTGCACCCTGCAAGGCAAACGCGTTATTTTCATGCTTGTCTACTTCATTTTCAATCGATCTCCATGGACAGAGATGACAGCGGAAGAAGACGGCTGGGGACTTACTTTCAGAAAGTAAAGGACGCGTTGGAATTCTGAGATATTCCTCTGACTCTTTCCTAAAATATTTCTCAGGGTCTAGAAGAAAAGCAGGTTTATTCACCTCAGGCAGCTGTGTCAGCGCTCCAATGCTTAATGACCTAAATGGGCCTTCACAATCACAGATTTTAGGGGAGGAAAGGGGAGAAAAGGAGGATAATATTAACAAGGAGCTAGCACATTTCCAAGTTAACTGTTTAAATTTGAACCTTCCTGTTACTCAGCTGATACAGCTGCAGTGATCAGCAAGCCTCTAATCAACACAGCTGTTCAAAATAAATCCAGAGTCCTTTCTATTCCAAGGGACTGAGACTAACTTAAGGCTTTCTTTTCATTAATTTTGCTTTTTTTTTTGCTATTTTCCTTTGAAAATGAATATTCTGAAGTGTTGGAAAAGGTCCAGTTTCTCTTTTATCTACCAGAAAATTGTATGCTTTGTGAAATGCAATCTATTTTTTCAGCACTGAATTGAACAAACATCTAGAATTTTGAATTTGCAGGTACTTTCATTCCCCTATAATGTCACCCAGACTCCTGTTTTGTATTTATTATGCACACAACATGAGGATGGAATTCTTATTATAATCATGACCTTAAAAAAAAGGTCATGCACAATGTGAAAAAGGTTTTGCTTCAGTTGATAAGGGGCTAGTGTAATAAAAATTAACAAAGGCTGAATTCAAGATATGAGTTCATGTTGTGCAACTGCCGGTTTGGTGAAGGTGGGAACAGTGCCTTTGTCTGTGCTGTAGACAAACTCGGTAACTAGGAAAAGGTCGACATTCTGGACATGCACAGAACAAGTCATATGTCAGGGGTTCGCGAGTTCTAACTGGCATCAGGACAACCTGAACGGCTTACTTAGGGATGGACTGCTGTGCACCACCCGGGCTTCTGACTTAGTGTGGGTAGGTAAATGAAGGTACTAGAAATTACTTCTTGAATAAGTTCTATAATATTGACAGTGCTAGGCCAGTGACCACTCTTAGAGAACCAATGGACTATGACCAGTTTAAGAAGAAATCTACATGCTGTAATGTTTTTATTACAGCCATGAGACAGATTAAGTAACTCATTGCTCTAGTAGCTTGCCTCAGTTTATACAACTGACACACGGCAAACAATGGATTTGAGTATGTTTAACTACAAAGGTCATGCTTCAAAGAATAACAGTAATAGCAATGTCATTACTAACAAAATTGTATTGAGTTTCTATAATATAATGGTCAAACTGCTTAGCATATACCTCATGTAATCCTGACAAAAATATTACCCTATGGAGTACATTAGTTTATAAATGGGCACTGAATATTAACCAATTATTATGCAACTTTTGATGACAAAGTTTCACCAGAAATTCTAAAATCAACATACCTACTTTACGAAAGTATCCCATTAGCCATGAATTTTAAAAAAGGACTTGTAACAAATATAATTTCAGGAATGATCCTTATCTACCTTTGTAAATAATATACTTACATATGATAATGATTCCTTTGTTTCAATTATTGTGAGGGTGGGAGGGGTAGGGTGTGGGAGGAATGGGGTTGTGTTGTGTTGCGGTGTTGCCCGAGCTGGCTTCAAACACCTGAGCTCAAGCTATCTTCCCACCTCAGCTTCCTGAGTGCTGAGACTACAGGCATGTTCCACCAAGCCTTCATTCCAACTACTTTTTGAATATTCTTTATTGGTCAGCCAAAACTAGATTAATACACCTTGTTGTGTGTAGCTTTGAAATTCCTGGGAGGAAAAAAAGTTTCTATTCATCTTTTCTTTCTTTAAATTAAATTTATTTTTCACTGGCATATAAAAACATAAAAACTGTACACATTGTTTGGGGACCATAAGATCTTCGTTACGTGTATACATTATGCAGTATTTATATCAGGTTAAACATATCAGTGTCCTCAAATACTTACCACTTCTTTATGGCGAATGCACTCTAAACCTTTCATGTTTTTTGCAGCGTACACTATGACTGCATCAGGCTCTGAGAGGATGTCTTGATACAAACCAAAAAGTTGTGTACTACTAGTCTTTCTGTTTCTCACTTAATTACTTAATATTTCCAATTCTATCCATATTTTCACCATTCTCAATTTTTTGAATACTTAAGGGAAAGTATTAAAATTCTAGTGCTGTCTGTTTTGGAGGTTATGTAGGAGGCACCTTACAGGTTTTATGGCTTAGAGCTTGGAATTGTATCACATATGCCGTGCAGCTCAGAGTAAGTGACACATATCTGAGCCTTGTTTCCCTCCTTTGTTGAGTGGAGATCATAGAATATTACCTTGTGTTTACTAAGAAATATACACAATCCTAGCACACAGAGTACAGCATATACAGTGGTACCTCAGATCAGAAACTTAATTTGTTTTATGGTTTGGGGAAGATGGCCATGTTTGTGTTTGGTACACAGTGTGGGGTCTGTGAACAGAAGCAAAATTTTGTAAGTGCTTTTGTTTGAGAACCAAATCATTTATGAACAGAAGCATTTGTAAGCTGAGGTATTACTGTATTTCTCTTATTCACAACAAAGTATAAAGATAACATTATAAAAATTTATCAACAGTGATTACTTACTGACTGCTTTTTGTATAATTTCACCATAGTAAAGTTGACGTGGTTTTTTCTTATAGATATTTCTTTCTTTGTATTCTATACCTAAATTTATGTCTTCAGATGGTCTGACACTGAAAAAAATTGTGATGAAATAAAATATTAACTACAGCAGTGAACACACAATTTCTAACTGTAATTATATCTATATTATATTGTATGTGTATATATATATATATATATATATATATATTATTTTACAAGAATGTTTATCAAGCCAAATCTTTGAATAAAATGTCTGCCACTCAGGTAATGATAAAAATACACAGCCAGAGAAGCTGAAAGTCTAGTTAAGCAAAAACTCTGTTACCATAACAACTGGAAATCCAGATACAAACTACACAGAAGAAAATTTCACAGGAGGACGCACACACTATCCTGATAAATTACATGAATAATGAAGAGTCAGCATCAGTGGTCTATGTCAAAGCCCCTTTGTCCAAAGCTAGGGTTGGATCTTCACTTGTACCCAAACACCAAGTTGTTTGGTGTTTATGAGCCCTACCACATGAATCTACAAGAAAACATTAGATTAGGATGAATCCACAGAAAAGATTTCTAGCACTGGCACACAAGGAAGGAAATCATTATGTTGCTCAAAAAAATTCTGTGAGAAAGAAAAAAAAATCTCAAATACTTAACATTTACTATTGAAGACTCCAACCTTTATAACAACTTGTGTTGCCAAAATTCACTGTTAGTGTCTACGGAGCACCAGACTTGACAATTCACTCGTTTCCCTCGACTCTTGAAAAGCTCTGGGGACCATGGCTGCCCTCTTCCTCCTGATTCCCCTCTCTGATCTTACAGTTGTTCATAAGTACCACAGCCCCTTTTGTTGACAATCCTGCCACTCATTTCCTGGCTGTACCGCTTTGAGATGCTCCCAGTACTCTCTGCCCCAGTGTTACTTCTCTACAATGAGGCTGTTGCTATAGTTTTAAAAAAGAGGTAGAATGAATGGAAGCTTAGTGACGTGCTGAGTGAATAATACTCCTCCATATGAGTTGATTTTCCTTTTTCTTTCCTTCTATTCTATTATTCCTGTATCTCACAAACTCAGTTTAAATATTAATGCGAGTAAAATGAAATTTATGTATCTGTTTTAAAGTTAATATCAGATGCTGTTTTTATAGCTTTAAGGAATAATTTATTGATTGCTTTTTTTATACATAAGTAACCTTTTGCTTTCAGAGTACTTTTTAGGATTACAAAAAAGTTAAAACAGGGGCTGGGGATTTAGCTCAGCGGCAAAAGCACCTGCCTGGCAAGTGCAAGGTCGTGAGTTCGGTTCCCGATACTGGAGAAAAACCAAAAAAAAAAAAAAAGTTAAAACAGTAGCACTAAGTGCTTGTATACCCCTCCTCAAGTTTTCTCTGTTGTTAATACTTTACATCACTATTTATCACATTTAGAAATTAATATTTGTGCATTATTATTAACCAAACTCCAAATTGTGTTAGGTTTTTGCTAGTTTTGTTCCTAATGTCCTGTTTCTATAAAGTCAAAACCTCATTATTTACCCAAATCTTGAGCTTCCTCTGGCCTACAATAGTTCATCGTATCTTTCTTTTTTATCGTGACCTTGACAGTTCTGAGAGCTGCTTGTTAGATGTTTTGCATAGAATTCCTCTCGATTTGTGTTTGATCGTTTTCTTACAGCTAAGCTGAAGTCATTGGTTTTTGGAGAGAGGCAACAGAGCTGAAGCTCTCCTCCGCATATCTGCTCGAGGGTGCACACGGTCCACCTAGCTTGCCAGGGCTGATGTTCACCTTGATCACCCAGCCAAGACCGGTGTCAAGTTTGCAATAATAACAGCTCACAGTACTCACTGAAATGTTACTTCTTCTTTGGAAGCAAGTACTAAGCGTGGCCTCCCCTTAAGAGGAGAATGAGGAGAGGAGTTGGGCAATATTTCTTGAGTGAAAAGAGCTTCTTTCTAAGCTATTTGGAATTAGGAAATTTTTAGGAGAGCCTTGCCATCCAGAAGACAAAGGGCAAGTGAGTAATTTTTCCTCAAATCATGCTGGATTCCCTCACAACACACCATCTCTTCAAATAAGAGCATATTTTTAGCTGTAGCCTGGGTTTTGACTATAAGAATTATCATTTTAAACTAGTAAGGAAAGCTGGAACAAGAAGAAGTCAGTCATGAGTACCGAAAGGTGTCTGCGATGTATTTAGCCCCTGTAGTTGTTGAATTAAGAAAACATTTTCCCCAGAAAATCACTGTAGGTAAAACCGAGGTATAAGAGGTTGAGGGACCAACTATAATAGGAAGAGCTCTCTTCCAAAAGACAGCAAGCACAGCAACACTAACCCTAATAGAGACTCTCTTCTAGGGTTATGGTGAGAGTAAGGAATTACACGCATCTTACAGTAGTGTGGGGAGTTTGGTAAAAGCTCAGGAAGTACTGGTTACTAAATAAGACTGTTTCTCAAACAGGGAGTTTCTGTTACTAATTATAATACTGCGAGGAACCCTCAGAATAAGAAAGTGAGAAGACAGAGCAATCCCCAAGCTAAAAATTTGGTCCTGTAATATTTTTAAGACTTAAATTTCAAAATTTAATTAGACTTTCACTTTCTTTCATTTGTCAGAGCTGGGCATAGATCATTGCTGCACAGTTCTGGCAAAAATAAACTTGTCACTCATCCATGTGTTTTATATCATACAGGGCTTAATTTAAAATGGGACTTTAACATTTCTATATTTTTCCTTCATTTTCTGATTTAATTTTTCTCATGAAATATATTGGCAGAAAAACTAGATAATCAATAGCATACAAGTAATTTTAAATGTCAGTTCCCTTCTGACAACAATATTGAGTGTGGAACACTATGATTCCACATGTTGAAGAGACATTAATTTGAAATGTATCTTTTTCTGTGTATAATCTTACTGGAAATTAATGGAAATTTCTGTTTCACTTCTCATCTGATTCTTTGTCCTAGTTTCTAATAATGTGTTCCTTCCTGATAAGCAATTTTTTTCACAGTAGATAAGAGAAAATGTAGATAATAATAATAATAATAGAAAGGGAAATAGACTCAGTTTTTGTTGCCCTAAAATAAAATGAAAATAAAAGAATCACAGTTCTACAAATGGATAGACTGGACATAGCATTAGAAACACTCTCTAATACACAGTGTTCAGTATTACAGAGTATCTGCAAGAGAGTGAGGGAGCGCATAGCACAGACAGGATTCAGAAAAAGGCTGGAGTGTGCTTCTAAAAGATGCAAAGGAGTTAGTCTTGGTAGATGCCTAAAACTTCAGGCAGATTTATTGCTGAATTATTATTATTTATTAGTAATTAATTGATAATAGTTAATAATCATTATTATAAAAATGTGCACTCTCAAATAAAAAATACAATTACAAACAATTAAAACTACGGGCAGCAGTTTCAATTCAATAGTCACATCCGGTCTTGGTTGAGAGGCAGGAAAAACCATTCCACAGACTGCTGCGGAAGAATACACATTTTCTGACAGCAATTTCAGCAAAATGAGACAAAAGCTTTTAAATGTTTTGCTCAGGAATTTCCCTTCAAAGAATTTGTTCTAACGATGAATTCAGTTGGGTACTCTAACTTGTGTGTATGAAGGTACTTACAGAAATAGTTTCCCAGCTACAGCATGTAAACAGCCGACATGTTTGAAAAGAAAAAAATACTTAGAACTACATGATACATTCCTGGGGCATCATTATGCATACTGACGTACATGGAAATGTATGTTAATTAATACAGAAATTGACTTATTGAATGCTTTTGAATAATAAACAGGTTATAAACTGGATATAAATGCTCTGTTTTATGAAAGTTGCACTTATTTTCCTCAGTGGACTCAGAGCAGTCTAGAGAGGAAGATCCCTAAATGTGGCACTGATTTTGCTACACAGAATCTTTTTCATCTTTTTATTTGTTTGTTTGTACTTCAAAATTTTTGCATAATGAAAATGTGTTATTTTTACAATAAAATATTCTGGTTTTGTTTGCTATGTTATTACTGCATGTATCATTTTCTAGAGTAAAATAATTTTGTGTGAGCCTGTAAAACAAATATTGCTACACATTAAGAAAAATTCATGTCCACTATAAGTTTTGTTCCTTAGTTCATCTCTTCATCTCTTTCTTTTCGAACATAGCATAATTTTTGCAGAATTGTGGGAAGAGAAAATTCTCTTTCTGTGTATCAACTGTTAATGTAGCCCTGGGATTTCTATTAGTCTTTTACTTTTTAAATTTATTTTTAAAAATAAAAGAAGGAAAACACATTAACAAACAGACATCAATTTACAAAATAGCATAAGAACAATACAAGCAATACTGAATTACAGACAAACTGGTAGGAAATTAACAATGGTTGTTGTATTATGTATCAATATCTTCAAAGTGGTTTCTCAGGAAAACAAATAGACATGCAAGACTGATCAAATAAGTAATAATTAACTGTTCCTTTCAGTAAAGAGATGGAAGTCAGTAGTACAACTATGCTAGCTATCCTGTACATACATACATACATAATTTCCCCTTCTTTCTTTTCTCTTTTCTCTCATCCCAGTTGCTCTTTACTTTTGAGCAGTTTCCTTTCATGTCACAATGTCTGTCACACCTCCTAATTTTTATTCACTCTTTCAGGTACCTACACAAGTGAGACAATACATTGTTTACACATGGAGGTCTGGTTTATTTCAATTATGACTATGGTCTCTGGTGGCAACCATTTAATTATAAAAGCCCCGAGTTTATCTTTCTTTATAGCTGAGTAATATTCCATTATATAAAAGTACCACAATTTTCTTATCCAATCCTTGGTGGATGGACATTTGGGTTGCTTCCAACAATTTAGCAATTACAAATTGTGCAGCTATGAACATAGGTGCACATATAGCACTGTGATATGATGATTTTAGATCTTCTGGGAAAATACCCAGCAGGGGAATAGCTGGGTTGAATGGGATCTGTAGACCTAGTTTGCTGAGGAATCTCCAAACTGATTTCCACAGATGTTTCACCAGTCTGCATTCCCACCAGCAGTGGAAAAGAGTTCCTATTTCTGCACAGCC